TGCTGCTGATGATGTTGTTCATACTGATGATGCTGCTGCTGCTGCTGATGATGATGATGGTGATGATGATGATGATGCTCTTGATGACGGTGATGATGCTGATGATGCTGATGATAGTGATGACGTCGACAGCGATGATGATGCAGACGAAGAATATGCGTACTAATCGTTGATAATGCTGATGACGATGCTGATGATGATGATGACGGTTATTCTGATGATGACGATGATGATGATGATGATGAGGATGATGATGATGATGATGATGCAGATGATGATGATGCTGATGATGCTGCTGCTGTTGATGATGATGGTGATGATGCTGGTGATTCGCTGCTGATGATGACGGTAAGGCGGATGATGATGCTGATGATACTGATGCTGCTGCTGATGCTGCCGCTGATGATGGTGGTGATGATGATAAGGATGATGATGGTTGCGACGGCGATGCTGCTGCTGCTGATGATGATGGTAATGATGGAAAGCGCGCCCCAGTGGATGGCCCTGAATACACTAAAGGGGGGGTGTGGTGTGCTCGCAGAACCCCCCCCCCCCTCCCCCCCTTCAAAGGGGGGGGGGGAGATTTTCGCCCCCCCCCTCCCCCTCTCCCCCCCTTGGCGCTGGAAAGGGGGGGGGGGGGGGTTCGAACCCCTTCCCCCCCTCCCCCCCTTTGCGCCGAAAAGGGGGCTGGGGAGGGGCCTCTCGGGTAGCGAGTAGAGAGTAGAGTGTTTTGAGTAGCGATTGGTGAGTAGTGGGTATTTGATAGTGGGTGGTGCGCAGTGAGTCGTGGGTGGTGAGAAGTGAGTAGTGGGTAATGGGTAGTGGTAGTAGTGAGTAGCGCGTAGAGATTGGTGAGTAGTGAGTCGTGCGTGGTGGGTAGTGAGCAGTGGGAGGTAAGTAGTGAGTGCGGAATTATGAGTACTGAGTAGTGAATAGTGAGTAGTGTGTAGTCAGTAGTGCATAGAGAGTAGTTAGGAGGGAGTAGGGATGAGTGAGTAGACAGTAGCGAATACCGAGGAGTGAGTCGTGAGTAGTGAGTAGTGAGTAGTGCGCAGTGAGTCGAGAGTAGTGAGTAGTAAGTGGTGAGTAGCAAGTAGCGAGTAGCGAGTGGGGAGTAGCGAGTAGGGAGTAGCGGGTAGTGAGTAGTGAGTAGCGAGTAGGGCGTTGTGAGTAGTGATTAGTGAGGAGGGGATAGTCAGGAGTTTGTAGTGAGTAGTGAGTAGGGAGTAGCGCGTAGCAAGTAGGGAGTAGCGAGTAGTGAGTAGTGAGTAGTGAGTTGTGAGTAGTGTGTAGGGGGTAGTGAGTAGTGAGTAGTGAGTAGTGTGAAGCGAGAAGTGTGTAGTCGGTAGTGAGTAGGGAGTAGCGAGGAGAAATTTGTTAGAAGTGAGTCGTGAGTAGTGAGTAGTGAGTAGTAAGTAGCGACTTGCGACTAGTCACTAGTGAGTAGGGAGTAGGGAGTAGTGAGTAGTTTGTAGCGAGTAGTGCGTGGTGGGTAGTGGATAGGTCCTATTGGGTAGCGAGTAGCGGGTAGTGATTAGTGAGTTCTGGGCAGTGCGTAGTGAGTAGTGAATTGTGAGTTTTTCATTGGTAAGTAGTGGATAGTGCTTAGTGGGTAGTGAGTAGTGCTTAGTGAGTAGTGAGTAGTGGGCAGCGAGTAGTTAGTAGTGAGTAGTGAGTATTGAGTACTGGGTAGTGAGTAATGAGGGTTGAATTGGGAGTAGTGAGTAGGGAGTAGGAAGTAGTGAGTAGTGAGTAGTGGGAGCGTAGTGAGTAGTGAGTAGTGGTACTGAATAGTGCGTATTGGGTAGCGAGTAGGGCGTAGGGAGTAGCGAGTAGTGAGGAGTGAGTAGTGTGTACTGTGTAGGGACAAGCGAGTAGCGAGTAGTGGATATGGAGTAGTGGGTTGTGGGCAGTGAGTAGTGAGTAATGAAGTGTGAGTAGTGAGAAGTGGATAGTGGTTGGTGGGTAGTGAGTAGTGATTTGTGATTAGCGAGTAGTGGTAGTGACTTGTGTTTGGTGAGTAGTGAGTATTCAGTATTGGGTAGTGAGTAGTGAGTAGTTTGTAGTGAGTAGTGAGTAGTGGGTTGGGAGTAGGGAGTAGTGAGTAGTTCGTCGTGGGTAGTGAGTCGTGGGTAGTGAGTAGTGAGTCGTGAGTAGTGAGTAGTGAGAAGTGAGTAGTGAGTAGCGAGTAGTGAATTGTGGGTAGCGAGTAGTGCGTAATGAATAGTGAGTGCTGTTTGGGGCTAGGGTTTGGGTTTGGGGTTAGGGTTAGGGGGTAGGGCAAGGGTGAGGATTAGTGTTCGGGGTTGTAGGGGTCGGGTTCCGGAGACCGGGGGCGCCGTGGCGAAAGAGGGGGAGGGGAAGGGGGGGTCGAATTTGGCGGCCAAAGGGGAAGAGCGGGGGGGGGTTCGGACCCCCCCCCCTTTGACGGGGGGGGTCCCACGACGACGGACCGGGAAAGGGGGGGAGGAGGGGGGGGGTCCCCGACGACGGATTGGGAAAGGGGGGGAGGGTGGGGGGGTTCCCCGACGACGGATCGGGGAAAGGGGGGGGGGGGAGGTTTCCCCCCCCCCCCCCCCCCCCGCCCCCCTTGGGGTCATCCAGCGGCGCGCCCTCGTAATGATGATGCTGATGCTGCTGCTGCTGCTGATGTTGCTGCTGATGCTGCTGCTGATGATGATGATGATGATGATGATGATGATGATGATGATGATAATGATTATTACGATGCTGCTGCTGATGATGATAATGATGATGACAAGGCTGATGATTGATTCTGCTGATGGTGATGGTTATGATGATGATGCTGCTGATGATGCTGCTGATTCTGATTCTGATTCTGATTCTGATTCTGATTATGATTATGATGATGATGATGATGATGATGATGATGATGATGATGATGATGATGATGATGATGATGATGATGATGATGGTGATGGTGATGGTGATGGTGATGGTGATGGTGATGATGATGGTGGAGTGGTGATGGTGGTGGGGGTGGTGGTGAGGAGGATGCGGAGGAGGAGAAGGAAGAGGAGGAGGAGGAGGAGGATGAGGGAAGAGGAGTAGGAGGAGGTGGAGGTGGAGGATGAGGAGGAGGAAGACGATCGATGAGGAGGGGCGAAGGAAGGAGCTGATCTCGGACACAGCTGAACTCGGACCTGGCTTAACTCGGACCTGGCTGAAGTCGGACCCAGCTGAACTCGGACCTGCTGAACTCGGACCTGGCTGAACTCGGCCCCCGCTGATCTCGGACCCGGTTGATCTCGGACCTGGCTGATATCGGACCCGGCTGAACTCGGACCCAGCTGACTTCGGACCCGGCTGAACTCGGGCCCAGCTGTTCCAGCTGCGGCGTGAAGCTTTCGCCGAAAGCACAGCGCGGGGATGGGGCTCATCTCGGACCCAGCTGAACTCGGACCAGGCTGAACTCGGACCCGGCTGAACTCGGACCCAGCTGAACTCGGACCCAGGCCCGCGGCTGCTCTCGGACCTGCTCAACTCGGACCTGGCTGAACTCGGACCTGGCTGAACTCGGACCCAGCTGAACTCGGACCCGGCTGAACTCGGACCTGGCTGAACTCGGGCCCGGCTGAACTCGGACCCAGCTGAACTCGGTCCGGGCTGAATTCCGGCCCAGCTGAAATTTGGCCCGGCTGAACTCGGACTGGGACGACCTCGGATTTGTCTGATGTTGCACTCGGTTGTTCCGGCTGCGGCGCGAGCGTCTTGTCGCGTGCGCCGCAGGGGAAGGGGCTGAGTTCTGATGCGGCTGAAGTTGGACCGGGTTGATCTGCTTTACTCGGAACGGCTGAGACTGGATCTCTTGGATTTGGAATCCACTGAACTCGGATTCGGCTGATCTCTGACTTTGGCTGCACCCGGACCCGGGGGATCTCGGGCCCCGCTGAACTCGGACCTGGCTGATCTCGGACACAGCTGAAGTCGAACTCGCGGCCGCTCCCGCTGCGGCACGACCTTCTCGTCGAGTGCAGGATCCACAGACACCTCTCCTCCTTTTTCTCCTCCTCCTCCTCCTGTGTCTGGCCTCCGACGCTTGCGGATGGTCTCCCAGGGAAAACATTGGAATCCAGAGGTTAAATCCTTAAACAACTCCAGAGTTTAGGGAATCCCCTCTTCCGATTCCATTGGAATATGTAGGGGGGAATCGCTACACTTCGGAGTTTAGGGTTCGAAGCTCTTGGCGGCCCCTCAGGAAGCTCTTAGTTGCCCCCCATGAGGTTCTTGGTGGCCCCTCAGGAGCCTCTTGGTGGCCTTTCAGGACATTCTTGGTGGCCCTTCAGGAGGTTCTTGGTGGCCCCTCATGAGGTTCTTGGTGGCCCCTCAGGAGGCTCCTGGTAGCCTTTGTATGAGGTTCTTGGTGGCCCCTCAGGAGGCTCTTGGTGGCCCCTCTGGAGGCTCAGAGTCCTGGCGGACCCTTGGTCCTTGGTGATGGTGGCGAGTCCCTGAAGGAGAATTCCATCGATACAGGAGGCTCGAAGGGAGTTGAGGACACCCCACTGCGTGCCTCGGTCATTTTGGCTCATATAGACGTTTTTCGTCAAGCCTCCTGGAAGGCAATTTTGTTCACACTTCTGCGTCTACTGTAACACTCGTGATCTCCTCTCCGGCATGAAGGTCATGTATGCATGCTGCTTCACCGTTGTTCTGGTCGGAATCCACCCTGGCGCTGCACTCGTGCTAGGAGGCGAACACCGGTGACGCAGCTGACGAAGTTCAGAGAGGGTGTCAGTGACAATTCGTCCATGGCAATTTGGTACTCGTACAGGAACTGCCAAGGTACTTCACTATCGTGTATTTGGATTCCACGTGGCCAAGCTGGTCAGGGTCCCCAGGTATCACTCACTGGTCAGATCGTTGCCACCAGGCCACCCTCGCCCTCGCCCAGTCTATCTGCATTGCAAATGCGACTTGCATGGGCATAACGCGCGACGGGGCAGGATACGAGCCTAGGACAGGTCCTGGGCCCTACTACCATGTGGCAGCGCTCGAAATGCGGGTCAAATACGCCCGCCCCGACGCCGTACCCGACGCCCTACCCGACGCCAGACCCGACAGCCTACCCGACGCCCTACCCGACGCCGTACCCGACGCCCTACCCGACGCCCTACCCGACGCCCTACCCGACGCCCTACCCGACGCCCAACCCGACGCCCAACCCGACGCCCAACCCGAAGCCCTACCCGACGCCCTACCCGACGGCATACCCGACTGCCTTTCCGACGCCCTTCCCCAGCCCGACGCCGAGCCCGACGTTTCCTCAGGGCGGGCCGACGCCTCACCCGATATTCTTTCTGGAGCTCCCATGGCGGGCGGAGCTGGCAATGTGGCTGCCAGTGGCGATCCCCACCTGCAACATGTCCTTGGTCAGCGATTTGATTTGATGTTGCTGAGCAAGCATCTTCTGGTAAGCATCCCTCGTGGAAGGCAGACACGGGTATTGTTTCGCGCGCCAATTGGCTGGACAACGTGCGGATATGTATTTCGAGGAGTTGAATGTTACAGGGACTTGGGCAGAGGCAGAACACGCTGGAGGACATCACTACGTTGCGTCGCAACCTATTGCCGGGACTCAAGGATGGTTGCCTTTGGTAAGGATGAGCTGAAAGCTGTTCATGGACGCACGCAAAGTGGGCTCCCGTACATGAGCTTCTACGTCAAGCACTTGGGGCGAACCGTTTTTGCATTCGGAGGCCTACCAGGAGGAGACCGTCACGGAGACGTGACCATTCCCGAGGCGGGGTGTGAAGGGCATGTGTCCCTCTTGGAATCCAAGTCCGAAGAAGCTTCACTTGCTGTAGAGAGACTCGTGTGACAAGGCTGACGCCTTCGTCGCCGGAAAGCAGCAGCATCGGAACCCTTATTCCCCACATCCTAAGTGGGGTTCTTGATTTCTCTGGACACACCGCGCAGTCCTCCCACACCCTCTCCTCTTCACACCCGCTCCTATTGTCATCATCAGCACCATCATCACCATCATCATCACCATCATCATCATCATCATCAACAACAACAGCAACATCATCACCATCACTATCATCGTCATCATCATGATCTTGTTCTTGCCCGATGCTGTGTTTGATATTACCTTAGCTGGTTCTGGCCATCCTTCTTATGCCCGCTCTTTGATATTATTACTGATATCCTGGTTATCGCTTCATCGATTCCCTTACCATCTCTGACTCTGCAACCGAAGTCATACCTTGCTCTTCGTAAATAATCGCCTTCTTGCACTTCTCCGCGTGATGGCATGTCCAATCGTCTGCAGAAATCTACTTCATATATGAACCGAAGCATGATGGACCAGTGTATTCAACATATTCGTCCGGTACGCAAGATTCCCAGACCATCTATCGGCTATGGAGTCCTTCGCACGTGCGTTCGTGGTGTATGTACTTCCGCCAGGTTCAGGGATTCATCCAGACCATCATGTTTTTTTGGTTGCCCAGTGTTGCTATCCGAACCAGGTGTGCCCGTGAACCTCGACAAGCTGATCCACTACCGTTCTTGTCCGAGATTGAAAAGCTTGTGTTTCCGCTGGATGGGCCGAGGGTTCCCTGAGCAAGGGCGCCCTCGAGGGCGCGAAGTTATTCGCGCTTCGCGCTTCACGGTCCTCGTTCCTTCTCCCCCTCCTCCTCGTCCTCCTCTTCTCCTTTTTGGGGGGCGGCGCGAGAGCGCGAAGTCATTCGCGCTTCGCGCTTCGCGGAGCCCGAAGCGCGAAGTTGGGAGCCCTTGCTGAGGAGGCCCCTGAGCCTCCACCCCTTCTGTGCCAATCGTCATCTGCTGTGCGCCTGCCTGTGCGTTGCCTCTCTCAGCACCCACGGGCACGTCAGAAACCACCTGCCAGGGACCCTTGAGCAGGCCTTCGAAGCTCGGCTTCGTTCGTAAGCTCGACGCCATAGGGCGGTGGCGAAAGCGTGGCAACAGCTTGACATCGAACTCTTCGGGGACGTTTTTTTTGTTTCCCCCCCCCGTTTTGCTTTGTGGTTGCCTCATCAATCCTCATCGTCGTCCACTCACTCACTCAAACTCACCCGACCACCCTCATTCAGTCATATCGTATCCATTCTGCGAGAGAGACCGTGATGTCAGTCTCTCTTGATGACGGTCCCTCTGGCCTCTTCTCATGTACATACCCACGCACTCACATCGTCATCGCACCCTCATTTGACCAGTCTCATTCACGCATCACTTACTCACTCTCCCTCTCGCTCACTCACTTGTCCTGAGTGGCTCTCTCACGCACTCAATCATTCACACACCATCACCACCTGGCTCATCATCATCGTCGCCACTCGCATCGTCATGATCATCATCGCCATCCTCATCAGCATCATCATCATCTCCTGCCTGTGTGTCGTTTCGGGCGGGAGCCTAGTCTGTGGGTGACTCGCGAGGAAGTCTCAGGCGGGAACCCGCTCCTTATGGGGCCCGTAGTTCATGTTAGTAATCCGAGCGCGCCATCGGAACCCCGTAGCTGTCGACATTTTTGGGTCCCTGAGGCCTGATTGTGGAGGGAGGGAGTATCGGGCGGGAGCCTCGTCTGTTAGTGAGTTGCGAGGAAGTTTCAGGCGGGAGCTCCTTTCCCTATGGGGCTCGCACTCGTGTTTGTAATCCGAGCGGGTCATCGGAGAACTTGTGACTGTCGTCACTTTTGGGCCTCTGAGGCTTGAACATGGAGGAGATATCAGGCGGGAACCTCGTTTGTGAGTGACTTGTGAGGAAGTCTCAGGCTGGAGCGTGTGTCCTGGTTTGAAATCCAAGGCGGGTCATCGGAACCTTGTAACTGTCGATACTTTTGGGCTCCTGGGGGCCTGAGTGTGGAGGATGTTTGAGGTGGGAGTTTCATTTGTGAGTAAATTGCGAGGAAAGCTCAGGCGGGAACCCCCTCCCTATGTGGCCCGCAGCTCATGTTTGTAATCTGAGGCGGTTCATCCTCAAACCTGTAACCGTCGTTACTTCTTGGCCCCTGAAGCTTGAATCTGGAGGAAGTATCAGGCAGGAGCCTCGTGTGTGAGTGAATTGCGAGGAGGTCTCAGGCGGGAGCCCCCACCCTATGGGGCCCGCAGCTCATGTTTGTAATCCGAGCGGGTCATCGGAAAACGTATAACCGTCGTCACTTTTTGGCCCGTTAGGCTTGAATATGGGGGAAGTATCAGGCGGAGCCTCGTTTGTGAGTGAATTGTGAGGAAGTCTCAGGCGGGAGCCTGTGCCCTTGTTTGAAAGCCAAGGCGGGTCATCGGAACCTTGTAACTGTCGATACTTTTGGGCTCCTGGGGCTTGTGTGTGGAGGATATTTCAGGTGGGAGTTTCGTTTGTGAACAAATTGCCAGGAAGGCTCAGGCGGGAACCCCCTCCCTATGTGTCCTGGAGCTCGTGTTTGTAATCTGAAGCGGTTTATTTTCAAACCTGCAACTGTCGTCACTTCTGGGCTCCTGAGGCCTGAATCTGGAGGAAGTATCAGGCAGGAGCCTCGTGTGTGAATGAATTGCGAAGAAACCTCAGGCGGGCCATCGGAACCTTGTAAGTGTCGTCACTTTTGGGTTCCTGGGGCCTGAGTCTGGAGGGGGCGATCCCGACGCGGGTCGGCGCCTCTTGAACGTCCCGAGCATGCGCAAGACGGGGGACATCCACTTGGTCTTACCGGCCCACGTCGGCATGGAGGTGCGATTTACCGCAGTGCAGGAACAGTTGAAGAAGAAGTTGGGGCTCGTGCAGGAGCAGCGGGCCACCGCCGTGTCCTTCGAGTTACACCCCGAGGACGACCAGCGGAGCAAGGAGTGCTCGCCAGGCCAGCTCTTTCGCTCCCTCTTCCTGCCGCAGGGAATCTGGCTGCAGGTGCACGGCTTCAAGGAGCCTCCGATCTACCAGGAGGTCGCCGAGCTGCTGCGACACGGCGCCGAAGGCGCCGACGACGACAGCCAGGCCGAGGCGCGGGCGCGGAGCTTGAAGGCCCAGTGAGCAGGAGCTCACGTGGCAAAGATCGGGTCCGCACGCCGCGCGCCGTTCGGGATTCACCGTGGCGCGCGCGTCGCGTCCTACCTCGCCTCCGCGCTGCCGCGGGGCCAGGCGCTGCGCAAGGGCGTCGTCATCGACTGCTCGAGGAGCGAGGGCGCTGGCCGCGCGGGCATGTTGGACGACCAGTTGTGGCGGCCGCACCGCTACGTCATGTTCTCCCGCGCCACGTGCGTGCGGAACGTGCTGGTCCTTCGGCCGCTTCCGCGAGAGTTCCTGAAACGAGGGCCGCCGGCATCTTTGCGGAAGGCGCTCTTGGCGTTCGGCATCAGGGCGGAGAGCTCCAGGGCAGAGGCGGAGCAGCTCGCGGCAGAGCTGGGCTTTGTGCTGCCCCCCGCCGCGGCGCCCCGCTCGAAGCCCGCGGGGTTGTCCCGACGGCTTGGTCTCGTGCGTCAGCGGTTCGCGGGGTTGCCCCGACGGCCTGGCGCGGGTGGTTGCCCCAAAGCCGCGGCGCAATGTGGCTATCAAATATTGCGCCCGTGCTGGCCGAGGCAGCGACGGCGCCGAGGAACGTCGACATGCGCGCTCATGCAGTAGAAAGGGGAGGGGGTGGCGGGGTTAAAAAAAACAAAATGGCGAGGAGAGGACCACGTAAGGAGTGGGGGGGGAGCCCGCGCCAGGGCGAGGGGGAGAATGACGCAGAGGACACAATAAGGACGCTTCAACAATCAATAGGACGACGATGAGGATTATTTTCATACTTGCCGACAGGATTATCATGTGGGGTCCTACCGTCGGAGTGGTGCCGGAAGTCTTCCGTGTATTCATTCAGCGTTGCATGGTCTTGTGCAGAGGCCTCATGATTGGAGGGTACAGCCTTCGACGCAACTTCAACGAATAACAAGCTTTGCTTATATGGTGGTGGGCAATTTATCGCTCTGTCGGCATTGATGCATCTCCTTCCCCCTTGGAATGTTCACAGGGAACTCGCCGAATATATCCTCGCAACATTGGGCTCCGGGGTGCCGCGCGAAGTGTGATCTAGTTCATTTCGCCTTAGGCATCCTTGCAGCTCTGGGCTCCGAGACGCCGCGCGCAAGGGGGGTCCTGCCGAATTTCGCTTGCGACGTCCTTGCATCTCCGGGCTCGGAGAAGCCTTGACCTGCGGTAGCCCTGCCAGTTTCGCTTGATACAGCTCGCGTCTCCGAAAAGTCTGAGGCTCTACAGGGCCCCCGAGAGACCGCTTGTATTTGTCCGACTTGTCTTTTCGATTGTTGCAATTTTTTCACGCACCCGGGAGCTTCCACACTACGCCGTCTGCGGCCGATATTTGATCAGGTCCGTGTCTCTCGGACGCCAAGACGGCCCAAACTGCCTTCCAAGCGGCCCAGACAATTGAATATGGCCCCAAAACGGACCCAAGATTCCC